CCGTTTCCAAAAAAAAAAGTTTTCAACCATACTGTAAATCGTACAAAACAGTTGCAAAATGAGCAAAAATATACCAAAAAAACAAAAAAAATTAATAAAAACTATACCAATGTCGTAGAATGCCAAAATCAAACGAAAAAAGACGAAATTGTAAAGAAATGAACTTGAAGACTAGATTATTCGCCAAACCATATTCTGTGCCATTTGCTCAACCCTCATGACCACATAGATTCATAATGAAAAGTAACTTTTTTTTGTACAAACTTTTTTTTTATTCGCACGCGCGCATCAGTTTTGGGGCTCCCGGAGGATGTCATCCACATGATCAAATCAACATGGCCTAACCTTTCTTCCCAGTTGACAGATCTCCTGGTCCTTTTTCTCCATGCTGTTCTCCGCCTCCTGCAGGTCGTGCTGTAACTTCCTGACCACGGCCTGCAGGACGGTGTTTCCCTCCGCTGTCTTCTCTGCCGTGTTACCGACAACCGCGGACGGCGAGGTTGCGCTCAACCTGTCAAAATTTACAACAAAGTTACATCCACATCGAATCACCGGGCCATACCGTCACTTTGGACAACGTTAGAATACTGGACACTGAACAGGACTGCATTAAGGAGGCCACATATATCAGGGCAATCCAGGCATCACTGAACAGAGACTGTGGACGTTATAAACTCCCTGTCACGTTTGTCACGTTTCAGTAAATCAAATCAAATTTTATTCAGTAAGGATCTCGCGGGCAAATACCCGAATTTCGTCCTTATTACAATAGTATATAGAACATTAAAAACACTCTTCATCGTGCTCATGAAACAACAATAGGTGAACACATATTAAGACGATTGTATAGGCGAACCTCAATCTTAAGACGATAACACAATTAAAATCTTCGCAGGTTAAATACGCAGTTATCACGAAGAATTTAGCTAGGTACAATATATATAACACTACTGGTGGATTGTCTTGTTATAGAGGCGAACAGCGCAATGAAGGAACGAATTGTTAAGTCTCTTAGTCCGGGCTTTTAATAGGTAGACTGATTGTGCCAGAGTTTCTGAGTGACCGTCCCGTGGCACCTGACCTAGTTGGCGGAACTAAGTCATGTAGAGGGTGGTCCTCCTAAAGTCTCGTGTGAATAAATAAAGTTTCTGTAACTGTAACTCTCGCGAGATTACGTTTTGAAGTGATTGGTCCTGATGAAGGCGACAGTGGTCGCTGAAAATTTGATCTCTAGATCTGTTTAACCTGTGTGTTGGAATAAAGTTCAACACATTTCACTATACATTTACATGGGAGTGTTGACGGTTCCTAAGCCATCTCCTGGAGCCTGGAGTCCAGTCTTCTTAAAGGCATCCAATGCAATTTTAGAGCGGCAAAACTTTAATTTTCAAAGTCAAAGTTTTCTGGTTACTGGATTCCAGGCTATCTTACATATCAACGATCTGGTGGGAAATTCTGAGATTGAAACGAAAGTAAGAGGAGTCTGCATATCAAGTCTTTCCATTACTTTCCAAGAAGAGGTTTAGGTTTAGGCTTATTCTTTATTCAGACGTGCTTTTATGCGTTTTTTATCGGTATATTTTTTAACTGGTATATTTTTTCGGGTGGAAAATGGATACTGCCCGACAATATGATACTGTCTTGCAGCCACCAAAAGATATGCTTGGAGATTAGGTTTATTTGTGAAATATATATTTTTTAGACAAAATATCTGCTACAGCGTAATCATATGGAGTAAGGTTGAGAAGTACCAACACCCAGAAGTCCTGTATTGATGCGAGGGAGAGAGATGATACAATGTGAGTTTAGATGTCACCAAGGCCACCACCTTTGCACACAGCATGATGCAGATAGGCCCATGCTTAAACACATTGCCGGTACCTGTTGGCTGTCTGTTGTACCAAGTTGCTTACAGCCTGGCGTCTCTTTGCTTTCAGAGCTTCCCAGTCGCTGTCATCAAATCGTTGCGGGAACGAAAAGTATGATATAAAAGGCAGCAAAACACACGTTTAAAATATAATTATCCTAGTATACCAGTAATCAGAATGTGTGCATATTCGTGATATGCATTTTTGTTTTATTTTTCGTGTACACAAATAGCAGAGCCCCGGCTTAGAATGCTGACTCCAGAATAATGCGATTTTGTGTTGCTACTGCCATTTTTTCAAATGACTTTACAACAACATTCTTCCCATTGTTTCGTATTGTTTCGTATTGTTCGTCGAGACTGACTTTTGGCCGTCCTCTGGACGTGTACCTACTGGTCTCGTCATACAATGTAGGTATTCATATTCATATTCAAAACTATTCTTCTTTTAATTTCCCAAAATCCACAAATTTTGGAAAAGGTGGGACATAACGTCTTCCATGGTTTACAAACCCTTCAGACATAGTTTTAGACATAGCTATAGTTTTAGACAATCGATTGCCTTTTATTATGTAGATTTTGAAGTTATTTTGTACTCTGTTTCAATGTCTTTTTGTCTTTGTTGTTTGCAATTAGCCTTCGGGCAGGAATTTGCAATAAACTTTTTTTAATATTTCAACTCCATTAGCTAGCAGTATGAAACCCTTTTGTCATGTGTTAATCTAAGGCCATTTACTCCTGTTTTACCTTCTCAGTCTGCCGATCACCTCTGCGTTCTCTTGTACTGCGTCCTCTTCCATCGAATCTATGTTCTTCTGTAGCTCCGCCCGTAGCCTGGACAACTCCTGTAGAACACAACACAGAACCAAATGTTTCAAAGAGAGGTATATCCTCCAAAATGGCTTTAAGATTTCTTCTTAAAAATTATATTATTTATGAGGAATTGTTGCCTGAAAATCGACTTTCTGCAGTTTTTGCTCTTTTGAATATTGTTGTAACAAGAACCCTAAAACTCACCTCGAAATTGCTTTAGATCTTAACATAATTCCTTTACAGACATATTGGGAAACGTATCCACAAATGCATTACCTTTAAAGAATATGATCATTTTGCAAGGAAAACTCTTTATATTTCAGTCGCGAGCTTCAAAAAGGTTAAATTTCCAGTCCTTTACAAAGTTAGTATTCTTTTATCACAAGTTGGAACATCTCATTGCGTCTCGGAGGGGGAAACTGCAGAAACATCGGGGTAAGTGGGGGGCTTTATTTAAGGCTTAAGCTTTTGTCTGATTTTGTTATCAATCGCTGGGAGGCTTTATTTATTTATTTATGTCTGTTTTTTTGTATGAATATGATTTTTAAAAAATTCAAAAAAACTCACCTCGTCCAGCATCTTCAAGTCGTCGTCCTTGCTGTTGCACATTTCCTGTCGCTTGTCCAAGTACCGCTCCATGTCGTCAAGCTGTGAGGGGAAGTTACGAGTTGGGTAAGGCTTAGCACAGCACACTGTAAAACCGACCTTCGCTAATTATCTTAACCGAAGGAAAACATATTGTTTTTTGCTCTGTCTTTTTCCGTTCCAAACAAATCAGGCCAGACGTCCATCACCTTGGTAACTAGTGCTGGGTTACATCATGTTGCAATTTTATAGTACAAGGGATTTAGACTCCTGGCACCATATACTAGTATATGAATGTGTTTGAGTATGAATTATCAGAGCAGACCATATGCATTGAGATGTATTCCGGTACAGTATTAATGATGAATATAGTGCCGTGATAAACAAATATATCTTTATAGACTTACCTCTTGTTGGAAATCCTGGCATGTCTTTTTCCTTGTCACTAATTCCTTCTCCCAGTCGGAAACTTGACTGTCGTTAGTCTCACACTGCTCTACTCTTCTCTCTATCTCCTTTTCTCTCTTATGTAACTCTTTCTCTCTTTCCTCCACTGTCTTAGTCCTTTCGTCGATGTCTGTTTCCCTCGCAGTGAGATCCTTATCAAGTTGGTCACAGCGTTGTCGCCTGTCCTTTATTTTGGACTCAATCTCCGACTTTATTTCTTGCAGGTTTTCCTCTCTCTTCGTCCTAACAGAAAACAATAATCCATCTATGTTTTTGCTTCCATTTGAGGAAAATACACAAATTTTAGAAAAATAATGTATATTGATGTTTTTGCGTACATTTGAGGAAAATATACAGATTTTAGAAAAATAATCTATTGATGTTTCTGCGTACATTTGAGGAAAATATACAGATTTTAGAAAAATAATCTATTGATATTTACTGTTATTCCTTCAAGTACATTTTCGTCGTCAATTCAAACACATGCTACCTTTATTTTTGGTAACAAAAAAAAACTAAATACTTAGTAGCTAGAACCAGCCGAAGATACGAAACATGCAACGCGTATTCCGATCAGTGACACCGCATTTTTGCCTCATAGGCATCCGTATGCTACGGGAAGGGCTGATTCGGCTTACTACATTGAAATAATCACCGGAAAATTTACTTTGAACATCCAGTTTTGCCGCCCTGAAATCACTTTGGATGTCATTAACATCACGATCATACAGAAGTTCAGATCACCTTTCTTGCTCTACCAAAGCGTCCAGCTCCTTGGATTGGGCAAGATATGTTTTCCTCTTGTAGTTCACCTCTTGTCTTAGTTCTTCTACCTGTGGTCCGTTCAATGCATAGACAAAGATCGTATGATGGCTGTCAATTTCTTAGAGTTTACATATTATCCAGCGAGAAGCATAATCTGTGTTGCGAACCAAGAGGGCCAAGCCCAGGGGGTTACCGTTTACATTGCCCTATATTCAAAATGTTTGAAAGAACCCTTAAGAAAATGTCGAATGTATATGTTTACAATATATTTTCAAAACAACCCTCGCAGCTTAACGTTATTATCTCTCGACGTTATGCATTATAACTTTTTCACCGATTCAACTCACACAAACGTATTCTTAAGAGCTGCAATAATTTTCTTGAGTATATCTTCATGTAATGATTTGCCACTGATTTGTAGCCTCTACCAGGCTTCGGGAGGTGGCTGGAAATCGGTCAAATAGAGAGATAACATGCCGAGGGAGTTGGTCCGCTAGAGAGTACATTTTGCCGCACGTGAAAAAAATGTACTCTACTAGCTAGCGGACCAACTTCCTCGGCATGTTATCTCTCTATTTGACCGATTTCTACTTTTTCTAGCCGTCTCCTGAATGAAGCCTGGTAGAGGTTAACTGAGTTGCAAAAATCAACGTGTTTGTAAATCAAGTTGATAACCGTTGAATTACCTCTTCCTCCAGTTTGTCACGTAAAGCCTTCAACTCTTCATTCAGCTTTTCGATCTCTGCGGACATGATGCTGTTAGACTCCTCCGGTTTCTTGTGATTCTAAAAGATAGCAAGAGATGTTGTGAATACACGTGTAAATGCTAGTGCTAATGCGAGCCAATAGGCACACAGCATTTTGACATGCAATGGCCTGATTGGTGGCGGTAGTTCGCTGATTGGCTGTTGAGATAATTGAAACAATTGCATTGTCACACCTGCACCAGCTGCACCATATTTACAGGGAACCGCCCGTGTCGAAGGAGTGGCCTTGGCTTGAAAAACGGTGGAAACGTGTCACATAAACTACTAAATTTTTGGAGTCAAGCTAGCAAATGAATTTTTAAACCAATCAGCACCAAATAATAATGTTGCGTCGTATTGTGTATATAACAATGGAAAATTCTCACTAGGTGGTTTCCGTAGGGACTGCCATTAACAGCGGTATTTCCGCCTGTCAGCTCATGCTCGGGCTCCAACAAGATAGTCGTGTTGTCTGACAGGTTGAACTGGACGCTTTTTGTATTCTTCTGCTTCGCGCTTTCCTAGTGTCAAAAAAAGAGGGAAGAAATTTGTCATCGTATAACCCAGAAACCGGATTTTGTAGACCATGTTTTGATTATGTGGATGACATCCGTGCGCACACGAATTTTCGTCCACCCCCAACCCCCAAAAGGATTTCGACCATACATATAAATCGTACAAAGCTGCAAAATATGCAAATCGTGCAAATATATGCTCGTTTGATAGAAAAGTAACTTGCAAAAATATACAGGAAAACGATGCTAATGTCTTAGAATGCCCAAATCAATTCCAAAGGCAAATTAAAAGAACGGAAATATGAAGAAACGAAAATGAAGAGTCTATTGTTCGCCATACCATACTCTGTGTGTTTATGGTCATTTGTTCAACCTTCATGACCACCGTTTATAATGAAAGCGCGCGTCTGTTTTTTGCCAAACATCAGTTTTGGGGTTCCCAGAGGATGTCAACCATATAATCAATTCAACATGGGCTAAGTAAACTCAACCGAAACGCACTCACCGAACTTAAGAGCAAGTATACTTGTCACTTCAAAGCACTGACATATAACGTTACTCTTGGCACGAAAAAAAATATCGTTTGTTTTCGACGTACATGACAAAGTCCACATTAGATAATCTACAAGCAGATCTTTTGGTGGCTAAAGATAGTATCCAACACGCGGACAGTATCCAGCCGGCCGACAGTATCCAATTGGCCACCGTTGGATGGGCCGGCTGTCAGAAAAAAACGGGGCATAGAAAAAGGTCACAATCTTCCCATTCAACCTCTGCTTGGAGAGTACACATTAGAGTCTTACGTAGTCAAGTACTCATGTTACTCCTGGCTGTTATCTTCAAGTGTGACTGGATATCGCAAGTCGTGACTTACTCACAATTAGCGGCAGTGGAACTGTTTGTCTTCAGATAGTGGATCTACAAAAAATATAGCTTTCATTCGACTGCAAGGTTCACTCTGTGTCGTAAAAGTAATTTTAATGGCTTGAATGATATTAGCGATATCGTACGTGATGTTGTGCGTTTGTATCATCAGTATTGTGGTAAATTTATTGTGGTAAATTTATTGTGGTAAATTTATTGGAACCTTTCCTACTGAATTACACACCCAAAGGATAAGGATAGGGGCAAAGCTCTGACCCTACCACATTTCCAGCACCCTAGCTCATCGCAATCTCTGTCAAGATTTACTCTGATCGGAATTTTTACAGGTAGAATCGGCAATTCTGCCAAGTCAAAATCTCCATCCTAACATATATAACTTTATTGACACAACATATATAACTGTTATGATGTCAAGTTGACTTTTAATAAATATAATATTCCGTTGGCAAACATTCTGGCTCACTGCAAATATGGTACAAATACGTACTTGACGTCCGTCTGAATAGCAACGTAAGTATTATGAATATGTTTTAACCGGGTTATACAGATAAAAAGCCGGAAGAATGGCAGACAAGCCGCCAGGGGGCTCAAAATCAAATCATTTCTAGGTCTCATCAACACCACCCACCTGACCAAGGTTCATGACAATCCTTCCAACGCTTCAGTTATCTTGCTAAACCACACACACCGTGACACACACACACACACACACACACACACACACACAAACACACACACACACACACACACACACACACACAAACACAAACACACACACACGCACACACACACACAAACCCTATTGAAAAGACAACCTTCTTGGCGAGGTAAAAGACTAGGGGAGCGATTAAAACGATAATTTCAAGCGTTGGTCGGCTCACTTTACACATTGCGTTTTAATCCGTTCGAAAAATCACCCCAGTGTCCACTCAAAAGACACAAACACTTCAACATGCAACGCACGGAGGCTGTTTTGAATGACAACAAAAGTTTCCTTTGTGAGACCTTTGGTTCGGCTTTATTAGATTAAGACACGAAGTCTTGTTTTGTGGAGAACATGGAAACCAGAACTCTGTACATGTAATCAGACTGATTGTATGTTGTCGACACTTCGATACAAGACGTTCAAAATGACGACAAAGTGACAAGAACATGTTTACTTACCATTGAGCTTAAAGGTTAAGAAGGATCTGGCGTATAGTGAAATGATCCTGGTCAAATCCAGAGGTGTGTTTTGTGTACAGACTCAAGGCAGTGATTTAAAAGAGAATTGGGTGCAATATACATGTATATCACAAGCCTATTGTACGTGTGTTACATACAGAATTTTATGGTACACAGTGGCCGAAGTTCGAGCCAGCGCTACAGTGGTCAGCACAGGTCTAAGCATGGCTTGACACAAGGACTTGTTTTATCTAAGGGTGCCGCAAGTCACAAACAAAACAACTTTCACACAGTACAGGTGTCGTCTTACACTTACCTGTTTTCCGTCGTCCCTTGTCTCAGGCATCGTGAGCGTCGACGTTACAAAGGTAATTCCATATCAATCATTCTAAATCACCGTACAGTTTCTACATTGTAGGTGAACCACGTATAAACATGTCTGTCCAGCTAGAGTCTTCCTTCCAAGAGTGAGCTAGTCTTCCGTGAAAGGACAGTGGTCTTACATGCAGGTCGTCCCATTCGTGAAGCTACCTTGGATTTGGAAGACGCCACACTAGTATCCATCCGCCCTTGGCATGCCCCCAACAAGTTGTTCACTGCTTCCCTCACTGCTCACTTCGCTGTTGTGAAACAGAAGGAAGGCTTTACAAATCACTCAAGGGGTTAACCGGGCTCTTGTGTACGAAAACTCACATTTCACCCCAGTTCGCCCGAGGTGCTAGTGGTGGGACTACTTCGCGCACCAGTGACGCGGTCGTCATGACACCCGTCTTTCTGGTTGAGCGAGCTAGGCACCGCCGCTTAAATATTTGTTGGGTAATCCCTGGGCTCTTAACTGAGCATGTACTGTCCATATATACCTGTAGGCTTACTACACACACGTGCAGAGGAATTTCCAGAACGTAAAACAGCATAAAATTGCATTTCTTGCACGACATGGAACATAATTTGACAGAACATGAATGCTATGAAAAGAGCATGTTTCAAAATCATGTTGACGCAGGTAGGTGATTGTGTGGCGCATGTAGACCCCTGAAGGGTACTTGAATACACCTGAATGACCCATTAAGTTGTTAACACAGGTGAATGAATTTAGACAGGGTAACCTGGGCATAAGTAAACACGCCATTGAATACTTCAACGTAAGAAGAAGGCATGAGCATATATACAAAGGGCTGACGTAAAATACGCTGTCTAAAACAACAAAAATACTAACTTTTTTCCCTCATTACTGTTAATGATGTGTTTAATCAGCCTTGAAAAAGTAATGAATACCATTAGCAAGATAATTGCAATTAATTACACATGCTGCTTAGAAAAAAATAACCGAAGAAAAGGAAACGTCCTAACAATTCATGGATTTCTCTAAAAAACTTCAGATTCTAACAGGCTTCAGAGGCGGCTGGAAAGTGAAGAGTATCAATTGAAAACAGTTCAGAGCGGCAAACTGTACTCATTTAGCGGGCTACAAGTACTAAGTAACTCCTCTGTCATGTTATCTATCTATCTGGATAATTTCTAGTCTTTCCATCCACCTCTGAAGCCTGGTAGAGGCGAGAAAAACTCGGACCTATGTCAATACAGCTGTTGACCAAAGTAGCCATATCTTCGAGTGATTTTTTTAAATATCAACCTGTTTACTATCTTTGATATGTCATCACTCGGTACTCCCTTTTTTCATTTCTAAGCATGTATCTTTAGATGCAACAACTCTCACACAGCAAAAATAGCTAAATATAAAAAAGACTGGTTTGTTATTAGAAAAGAAACTCATGATTATCCCCTCTCGATTGTAACACTATATCAAAGACTTATGTTTGTTTTACCCTTATTATTTGGTAATTAGGACGTTATGTTTTATTCTATACCTCTATTCTGTACAATAAAGTTCAATAGTTGTTGCCATGAATATTGTACCGCGCACAATTGTCGTGCAATAAAGTTCTTCTTTACGAGAGTCTAGCTTATGTTTGAAAGACATGTTCACGTGTCGTACCAAGCGTTCCTTGAAAATGGAAGCCTTGTCAAGTACGAGCCAAACTTGCAGTACGTTGGGGTGCAAAGCAAGTGAAACGACGCCTTGCACATGGATATTGTAACTGCTCTAAGGTTACGTGAGCATTTTGCGTTACCATACCGTGTACGTGATTGTCCTTGGTATTGTCACAGTGCAGTCATGGTGCATGGAGTTCAACGCTGTCTTTCATCTTTTCAAGCCGTCACAACAATCCAGCATTTACGTCTGAAGCAAGAGGCTTGACGATATGGGTACTTCATGCACCGCCTTTGTGCCAATATTAGCCCTACTCTGCGGTGGACGCCATAGGTAAATACATGGCTTCACGTGATGCACGTATACCAGGTGTGCCAGAGTATACAGTGCAATTTTACGGAATACAGAGCAATTTTACGGAGTACAGTGCAATTTTACGGAACACAGTGCAATTTTACTAGTATACAGTGCAATTTTACGGAATACAGTGCAATTATACTAGTATACACTGCAATTTTATTAGTAAAATTGCACTGTATACTGATACGATTGAATTGTATACTGATACGATTGAACTGTATTCTGTAAAATTGCACTGTATACTGATACGATTGTACTGTATTCCGTAAAATTGTACTGAATCTAATACGACTGTAATTCTAATACGATTGTACTGTATTCCGTAAAATTGCACTGTATTCCGTAAAATTGCACTGTATACTCTGGCACCCCTGTATACAGACTCTACAGGTAAGTCATCACAGGTGACCCCGCGCGTCCCTAGCAACCAGATAGCAGCGGGTCAAGCCAACCACGAGGTTTATTACGGTAATCCATCATTGACTCATTCTAATGTCTTTTTAAGTACATTGTATTTGGCGCACATGTCAAGGGTTTAGTGTACCGTGCGCCACAACACTTAGAACTTATGACGTTGGACTTGAAGCTTAAAAGGGGGGAAGTGTTTTCAGGTTACCTTATATTGATTGCATTTGTATTTAAAATTACGTCTACACAAAACATGCGAAGATGAAACTTTAAAATGACAATAGATGGACACTGGGGATACACTACAGTATACCATATGTCCCGATACCGTGCCGACACACAACTGACCGTATCTTTCACGGTTCAGGATACGTTTAGATACGTGTCATTTGTTCTGCCGCCGTCACTTCTAAGTGATGCATGGTGTTCTGTAGTGGACCATTGGACAGGTGGGAGTTAATGTTTAGATAGGACTGAGGGAAATACTAGTACATGATAAATCCAGGGAGCTTAAAAATCAACATTTTTGTGAACTCCTTGATAAGTCACGGAATTGTTTTGATTCATCGTCCACATAGTTACTATGTAAAACTATAGAATGTACATCTATACTAACTATACATCTACTATCTTGATCGATCTTTATTTCACAGATAATTTTCAGCAACACTTCAACAGTAAACATAACCCTCAAGATGCACAGAATCACCATGGACATGGACATCAGTGACATGCACTGGAAGATCAAGGGCACTTCCAAGTTCACCCGCAAGGGGGCGAGCATTCTGGGCATCATATATTTCTTTCTTTTCGCCGCGACCATCATGTGGACGACCGTTGTGTACGCTTTGCCTGCTCTTTTTCCCGAGTCTGCTGACGACGGCCGGGTTCACTACGGCCTCTTGGTCTTTTTATGGGGGAATATGTTAGCAAACTACTGCTTGTGTTGCACCACGAAGTCTTTCTACGCGGACCACGAGCCGAGGCATGTTCCCGAGCACTGGAACTACTGCCTGCCGTGCGGGAGACACCTCCCTCCGCGGGCGCACCACTGTCTGTACTGCGACAGGTGTGTGCTGAAGAGAGACCATCACTGCTTCTTCACCGGATGTTGTGTGGGGTAAGAGCGTATGAGCGTTAGCCTCGTACCGGGCTTCAGAGGGGGCTGCAAAGAGTAGAAATTGACCAAGGAGACAGATAGCATGCCAGGGGAGTTGGTCGCCCTAACGTACTCCCCTGGCATGTTAGCCTCGTACCGGGCTTCAGAGGGGGCTGCAAAGAGTAGAAATTGACCAAGGAGACAGATAGCATGCCAGGGGAGTTGGTCGCCCTAACCGTACTCCCCTGGCATGTTATCTGTCTGGCAAATTCCTACTCTTTCCAGCCGCCTCTGAAGCCTGTTAGAGACTAAAGACCGTTGTTGCTACCAAGCCTATAGCCCCATAGCTATCTCCTAGTTTTTTCGCCTCTTTGCATACTTTGGCCGACATAATGTTACCTGTTTTATGATTAAGAAGCTATATATGTATTGCAATGATGTCTATTATGCGGACAGGTCTTGTAATTTGGGTAGTGTTTGTGTTTCCGACTCGCTTTTGAAAGCACAACTAAAAAAGGTACGAATAAATTGTGGTGATTTTTGATATGTTGGAAGGTCCATCTAGTTTCGTTTGTGCAGCATATTTTCTGAGTCAGTAAACGCTATGTATATTGACATCTGTATTGATTGTGTGGACGCTTTCTTCTTCAGTGAACCG